AATTTCAACACACTGACTGATAATGCGTTCTCTCAAGTGGTTTAGATTAGCAATCTTCATTGAGTAAACTTTCTCTTTCAGCATACCCAGAAAAAGAAATCAAGGGGAGAGAGAGCCTAAGCGTTGTTGACTAATCCCGGGACTCTGCCGTTCCAACAAAAATAACATAAATAAATAGAATATTAAAATTTCTATGTACCCAGACTTTGTGGACACCCTGTATGATTACCTAATACCCACTTCGATTCCGAACAGGGCACTATAACAAGGCAAATACTTCACGTTAGACAATTTGAAAAATGACATGCTTTTAAATGTTTGCCTTTGAAAACCCAATACGTCCGAGATGCCGTGTTAAAAGTTTCTTTTAATCTGAGGGCGCCGTAAAAGCACACTTATATTTTAACTTTAAACACTCTTAGTTGAGCTTGCTGCATAATGTGTTGCACAAGTTTAATTCTGGCCAAATAATATGGTTTATTCTATTCTGTATAGAGAAAAAAACTTTTTATACAAGAGTGTATAAAATTAGGCACCAATTTCCTATCTTTATCAAATTCCCAGCGCAGAAATATTTTGTCGACTAAACACTTATATTGAATAATCTTGTCTTCCCGATGACATTGAAAATGATCGATTGCTACTGTTCAGTCGAGCTATTACCTGCAGTTTTAAACGTAACCCTTATGCGGCGTAGAAAATATAAAAGCTTCTCCTATAATCCCTTGAGTACTGGAGATATTCCGAATTGGCTGTTTTGTAGAGACAAATCTACGGCAGCACACTATGTAAAATAAATAAAACACGCACACTTCAAGCATGTAAAACCCGCTAGCACTGAAGAACTATAACTTAAAGCAGACTTGTTAGTTTAAGTGATTCACTATTCCAGACAGAGAGCACGTTATCTGACTGCCCGGTGTTATTTTTCGTAAGATTTTACAGAAAAATAATTAAGTAAAACAGCCAGACAGAATTGACGGGTAAGAGTCTGATTACTTATAGAAGTAGCTTGTCGCTCGTCAGTTCTAGGAAGTTATTTAAAAGAAAAAACTATCAGCGAAGTATTTCAGGGGTCAGAAGTTCGTGTAAAGTTGTAATTTCATTATTTTTAAATTAGTAATCACCTTCCGAATATAAAGGAAAATTGGACGCCTGCTTTTCTTCCATTTCTACTCATCGGAAAAATTTGAATAAGTTTCTCATAACGTGGTTTTTAAATACTAAAGTGATGCGAGCCTCTTCGCTGTTCTCTTTATTGTATGTTGGAGGCACTCAGTTGACTGAAACTTATTTAGCACAAGCTGTGCCGTATAAGCTAAGATAAAGTTTGTTACTCTGAAGGCTTTTGATGTTTGTGTTCTTCATTGCTCATAGTTAAAGGTTAGTAAAATACATTTGATGTCACGATTTAAGCATCTTATTTATGTTGAAAGTTGCTGGCCTTCGTGGGTGAACACGAGCCTAACCAACTCTTTGAATTTTTTAACAATAAACCCATGCAGTTTTCTGTTTTTTTTAACAAAAACAAATCTACAACAAATCCTAGTCCTGATGTATAATCCTTGCGTATACACTTCACCAAGCAGCGATGGAAATATTATTTCCTTCGGACTGGAGGAGCGGATTGTTTGCCCAACGCACACTTACGCGAAGGTTATTGACTGTCAAGGTGGAACAGTCCTACCGGGTAAGAATAATCAATACAAATCATTTATGTTTAAAAAAGCACATAGTGTCCTATCAGTTTTTTGAAAACTTAAACAAATATCATCGCACTATTTTTCTCTGGGACCTATACATAGTCAACCAAGTCACAAGTCAACCTATTTGCAGAGTTATCGTGTGGATGATCTTTCTAAAGTTAAAGAATTTAATAATTAGACCTTTAAAAAGGAAATAAATACTCAATGTCCTGCGTTTTTAAATAAAATGCTTGAGATGTAAAATTGATTCAAAGATTTGTGTTAGGCCGTATTTTCCAATCAACAAGTCCGACCCCACCACAAAAGAAGGGCTTTGACGAGTTTATGACTGTTTTCCGAAGGCCTAAGTTCATTGTCATTTGAGCTGATTGGAGCGTATTCATCATTTTTAGATAATGAAAGAAAGGCAGAACTTGACTGAAATCATAATTGTAGATTACAATTGTGATTTTGTATTCGGTACTATTGAAAAACACTATGGTAGCCGAGAGATAAATACCAGTTTTGGCCAAACATACCACCCAAAGGACGAAATAAAGCGGCATACCTAAATCCGCCTGGTGAGCGCTTTTGCCCAATCGATAGTAAATAAAACTTTTTACTAGTATGTGAGTGGAATGACACGCAATTATGGACACTTTTAAAAGACCCGCAAGGCTGTTGCATCAGAGTAAAAATGTGTGCATATGTGCAATCACCCCTAGTTGGGCTCACCAAGGTTTTCAGCCCTGTTGATCTCCCTGAAAAGACTCTCTGGGAAATATTTTAAAGAGGGCATATATATACACAAAACTAGTAATTTTTAAATGCGATACATATAAAAGTCGGTGCCGGCCAATAAACGATTTAATCAAAGTATAATTAGATTGAGTGCTCCAGAAGATTAGAAACGTGAGAAGGGGAATGACCGGGACAACCAAATGCTTTTATTAGAAGGACAACGGCAGGAGGTCCACCAGCTCTGTGGCGGCAGCAATTAAATTAAATGCATCATTA